CAACACCACTGAACTTCGTACCTGTCGATGGTAGGTTGCCGGACGTTACATGTAAATTTGTGATGCGAATAAAATGTGTATAGCGCTATCTACGGTGAAAATATGTAACTGCGATCGTTTTTATATCTGTGACACCGCCAATGTCAAATATGCGTGATATCTTTGTATTCATTTTTAAATACGCCACCAACGCCCATTGTGTAAAATGTATTCGTTTCTCGAAACCGCCAATAGCGTTACTAGTCGAAATACTTTTGTTTTTTTATTTTCTCCGAGCTAGCCCCACCAACGACCATATAATTAACTGCTTTTGTTTTGTTCTAAGCGACATGATTGTACGATGCCACCAACGTCCATAAATTAAATGTTTTCGTTTTTGTTCTATATACGTTTATTCTGTTATACCGCCATCATCGTTTGCACGAAAAATACTTTTCGTTTTTTAGAAAAATGGCAGTTTTTAACACACATCTGTTGGTCGTGCGAAACACTGATCAGTGTACATCATTTCTCGATGTAATTTTTAGGTCTTGCATCTAAATGTATAGTATAGGTGGTGAGTAGATATGCATTTTTTGGAACAGTTTGGCGCGAAAACTGCAGCAGACGACAACATGCAGAGTGTACGTAACACCAGAGAACACTGAATGGATTCCATTTTTGTTCTTAGACAATTTACTACTATTACTTTGCAGCCCGAGCACCCGTGCTTGCAGCAACATACCCTTCAGATGATTTTGTTTGTAAATCTCCCCGGACATTATCTCATTCACTTACAGCCAAATCAAGAGTCCGATTCATTCAGTAATATTCTCTCATGGTTTATTATTTCAAGATACAAGTTTGGTGAACCATTTTCTCACAACGGTCAAAACCTTGGATTTAATCACAAATTATGTACAATTAATTAAGAGAAAAACCTTGGAACCAGTCTATGTTTTTGATAAATAATTACCCTTAATTGTTCTTGCCTTACAGACTGCCTATCGAGCAAGTAATTGGTCTGTCAACATCTGCAGCCTTGTGTTGAAGCTCAGATACTTGCGTGTGCACCAATCAACCCGTAAATCACTGTCACTCAGTCATATTTTTACTTTGTATTCATGGTCTGATTATCCACCAGAGCATTGTCCAACTACACCTTTTAATGTCAAAGCAGAGCTGTCGGTATTTAACTCGCTTATTAATTTTTTCAGATGTAGTTATGGTAATGGTAAGGTTGTAAAAAAGTAGTTCAGTGGCATTATATCTCACTAAACTTTGAAATTCAGTTGTATGTCATCTACTATCAAATGAATCTGCAAGATGTGAGCATTTGCATACAATTAGTTTTTCACAATTTCAAAATCTTTAAACTTAAAAATAGAACTGACATGATCACTACAGGGTGTGAAACAGATCAAATGAGAACATAAACAGATGATACAGAAGTTTTCAAGCCAAAGTACATAAATTTGCTGTGATTTTTAGTGATTAGTTGTAAATCCGAAGTGAGTTTATAGCCTGAACAAAGCCCTAGAGAAATTATTTCAATGCCATAAGTTATTAATTCATCTGTCACTACTTTAGGTTTTGTTTACTCGTTTGTTTACTTCGATTATTCACACGACGTAATGCTTAGCATTTGAAATGATTAGAAGTGTATATAATATAAGCATATTAATAGAACATACACACACCTATGTCATTTATATTAATGCAATTTTATTAATAACCCATAACCATCCTAAAGGTAGTGTTGATTTTCACTAGTAAAATCATTTTCTATTGGTTTCTATGTTAAACAGGCCTCAACTCTCAACACTTTGTTTTGTAATATATGCTGTAAAAAAGTAGTTGGATGGGAATACTTTTTTTTGGTATGAAATAGTTCTAAAATTGCCCATTATGTCATTTAATCTTGTTATTAATTAGACACAAAAGAGATAGAGATAAAGGCACCCCTCTAATGGGTTGTAGTCAGTGGTATCAAGATTTTACTCTGAAAGATCATTGATAAAGACAATACAAAATTTATTTCTACAATTGATTTTAACATTTACTCAGGATTTAAACTATGCATACTAATTAGCCAAATTTTAACCTTTTTCTCCTGTATCTCCTGTATCTCAAATACTACCAAACATATATGCATAGAAACTCCGAGATAACCCATTGGCCCAATTAGATATTTGCAAAAACCATTTATCAGATTCTAATAACTCTGACACGATTGGCTTAGGGTTAAAATTCATGCATATTAATTACCTAATTGCCAAAATATTCCAATATCACCATAACCATTTATAAATTTAAATTAAACTTGATTCATAGATGCTCTGAGATAAATCACAAAGTACAAACTGCAGATGTATAATAAAATAAATTTATTCCTTTTGCTCTACTAGAGTTTTAGTTTGTTAGTATTATAAGCTTCAATGGATCAGATAGATCAAAGTTCTGGTCTATTTCATTTGCCAAGCTTCTTGTTGAATAGGCTAATCCTAAATACTCTATGCCATATTTGCTTTATTAGCAAAAAGAAGTAATATTAGAATGATCAAGATACAATTATTGGTTTAAATGTGCTTCAATTGGAGCTGAACTTCTAATAGAGCAAATACAATATATGCCTTTGAATACCCTCAAGCACAAGAGAGTACTTTCTTTGATTATATCTATTTTTAACAACATACAAAATATTTGTAACTTTGATCATGTAAGAGTTTTTAGAATAACAAGTCTGGTATGACACGAAAGAGCTCCCGTCAGAGACACGGACTCAAGAACGGCATTTGTATTCGGACATTTTGAATCCAATCTGACAACAAAAATGGTGATCATATCTACATAATCATTGTATGTACGAAGATGGATAAAAGCTGCATTTGTATTACCAAGATCTGGGACCGAAATGCTTGATGAATTTTAACATAAAATGGCCACCATTCAGCCATCTTGAATCTGATCAACAAATAACCTATAAAGTTTACACGATCAAGATCAAGATCCTGCTCTGTCCATATTTTATATAGTCATTATACATCATGTCATAGATATACAGATGTATTGGTTTGACGAGCAGATTAAAAATGGCCGACAGGCAGCCATTTTGTTTTGATTAATGGTGTTCCAGGGCAATAAATCTATATGAACAAGTACTTGTGCTATATATATTATTATAAACAAAACTATATAACTTAGATTTGATAACTAATAGGGACTGTGCCATGCATGGATTGTTTTAAACAATTTGAGTTTCTTATGATATAGTGATGCCAATGATCAACATACTCTGTAAACACAATCCCTGCGCATCCATTCCAGCAATGACAAAATAGTTAGGCAATATTAACATTGTTGCCAACCAACCATACTGTAATGACTTGCAACAACAAATTATGACTTGTACCACTACAAACTGGAAAATAAAATGCTAAAACAGATTGCATACTTGCATGAGCTCACATAGTTAATGTACATAAATAGAAAAGTGAGAGTTAAGTGTCATTATTAATTCATTACCATTTACACAAGACTCATGGAATAATGTTATAAACGTTACCATATTACCAACAACACTGCACCTTTAAACAAAATTTACAAAAGCCCAGAAGCTAAAAACTTTAAAAGCTGTAGTTTGAATGTCAAAGAAGTTAATTTCCAGGTTGCTGTTGACAGACTTACTGTTCATTTTTAATTCAACACTGTAAGTTTTTCTTTATTATTGAGTTGATGTGTATGCCTTTGGCAAAGCTAACATCTGCCTTTATATTCTCTTGTCTTTTCAAAATCAAAGGTGGTAATACTTGTGACAGTAATACAGTACAAGATGTGTACATCAACATGTGCCTCCTACAAACAAGTCATTGTCAATGACACGTCCCCGTTCCGTTCATATTTGAGTGACATATACAGTCAAAGCAGATCATGACCGAAATGCACCTGTATATGTACAACACATTGTACTAAATCTGAACAAAATCCATCCATGCATGACTGAGATCCTGTTCCGGAATTGTGAAAATACGCAAATGTGCGATTTCAATGCATTTTCGCCCTTAAAGTGGCCGCCATTTGGCTATCGTTAATGAGATCATGAAACAAATGCACATACATATTTGTGACATGATGTACAATGTACCATGTGTGTGTGAAGTTTGAACTTGATCAATCCAGACATGTCTCGGATACGAATCCAGAACTGAATTCTTTAAAATAAAATGGCCGCCAGTCGGCCATTTCGAACTTGATCCGAAAAAAAAAATGACGTGCATCAAGGTCCTATTATGTTTAATGTATGTACCAAATTTGAACAAAATCCGTCCATGCATAACTGAGATCCAGGTCAGGAATGGTTAAAATGTGCGATTTCAATGCATTTTCGGCCTTAAAGCGGCCGCCATTTGGCTATCGTTAATGAGATCATGAAACAAATGCACATACATATTTGTGACATGATGTACCTTGTGTGTGTGTGAAGTTTGAACTCGATCAATCCAGGCATGTCTCAGACAAGGATCCAGAACTGAATTCTTTAAAACAAAATGGCCGCCAGTCGGCCATTTCAAACCCTATTATGTTTAATGTATGTACCAAATTTGAACAAAATCCGTCCATGCATAACTGAGATCCGGGTCCGGAATGGTGAAAAATGTGATTTTGATGCATTTTCGGCCTTAAAATGGCTGCTATTCGGCTATTGTTAATCGGATCATGAAAAAAATGCATGTGCATATGTCCCATATAATGTGTGATGTATGAGTGAAGTTTGAACTTAATCGGTCCATGCATGTTCGAGATACAGGTGATCACGGACGCACACAGAGCAAAACATAAGTAGTCCGAAAACGGGGACTAATAAAAACTTCTTGTTTGTTTTTTTCGCCCTCTCACATTAGTTTTGAGGTCTCCAGAGGATGTCATCCATATAATTGAATCAGTGTGGCCCAAGACTTGATCTTAAAACATTTCAGTTAGATTAAAAGTTTTCCAAAGTAAAAGTTGAAACACTTCCATAATCAGTGGTCCATCATTTTATCTCAAGTTTTATTAATCTTGTAAAAGACATTGATAATCTTACAAAAATATATAAACAGTAACATCTGCATCCCATTTTTTACAATACAGAACAGTGAATAACAATACATGATTGCATAGTCTTAGTAATTATACATTTGATTGACACGACATATTAAACACATCACCTGTCTTTTTTGACTTCCTCTGTGGTTTCACATTTGTTATCAACTTTCTCATCAGTATTTTTACTTTTATCTGTTTCATCAGGTTTATGTCCTTTAATTTTTTTTATGACAGAGATTATTTTTGCTTTGATACCAGTGGGTTTTTTGTTAGGATCAACAGGTGCAAAACTCCTTGTAGTTAAATTGTGAAGTGATCCAAATGCTATAGCTACCACGGTACATGCCAAACATATCACGTTGTACGGCATGCTGAAATCAGGGGTTGGTAGCTGGATTAGTAGAATCTCAGAGTATAATCTAATGAAGAAGTCTTTCTGGTTTGATGAACCAAATAAGCTATAGAGGGAAAAAGAGTGTGGATAGATATCATTATACATGTAATAAATGAGAATGATAATAAAATTATTATGTGCTACTGTGTTGCAAGAAGAATGTTCTTTGATTACAGCTGAACACGCGGAAAGGTTCATATCATGCAACATTACATGCATGTTATTTTATAAATATATAACATCATTGTCATTTTAAAAGTTCTTCTCTGACTTTGCAGTACTCAAATTGTAGTCATATTGAGATAAGTGCTGTTTAGCAAATACAACAACTATGGTATTCACAAGATATCTTGGTCAGAAAGTGTTATCGGTAGTACACAGCTTAGCATTAAGATAGATTAAGGTATAATCAAGTCCATTGTAACACACACAGGAAACTGACGTCTTTCTACTCAATGAAACAAGTCAGGGGATGTCCTGTTCTGTTCTTTACTGGACTTGACTCACTATCTCTCTTTCAAGTCTTACCTTGGGAATAATCTGGAATCTGTTTGTCCTGAAAATGTGTTATTTCCATGCTGCAGAATAGTACTTACAACTGCAGAACTGAAGATAAGCAGAATTTACAATTACATTTTGAATGTATCACCAAATTTGACTCGAGTTACATAATCTGCAATGTATTTGTTTATATCATGATGGTCCAGAGTTTTCAACATGTAATACCTGATATGAAATCCAATATTAGCATCAGGTGGATGTTCTGTCCATTTCAAAAATGCTCTATCAAAATCAATACCAATAGTTGTGACTGAATCTGGTGGTAATGTCAATACCATCTCCAGCATGTAACCCCGGGTACGATCTTGCCCTGGTATATACTTCATCCAGTCTGTAACATGGAATATATTTCATTAATAGTGATTTATACAACTTTTGATATTTTGAGTAATAAGTGTACTGTAATAAATGCAAGAGTGATGATATTTGCAATATATCCGCCTTGCCAGTAACATTATCAAGCAGTGCTGTAAATTTGGTTGTGATCGAGTTTTCAGCATCTTAAGATTTGGTCATCACATCACCAAATTGCATGCCGAATACTTTGTTCGACAATTATACAAATTATACTATAAAATTAATAATTAATGTGAAGCATTTTCCATTAGGATTAGTTTGATATGCACACCATACAAGTTTTTGTGTGTATCGCCATTAGGATTAGTTTGATATGCACACCATACAAGTTTTTGTGTGTATCTCCATTAGGTTCCTTCCTTTCGAATTTATAGGATGTGTATTTTACAAATGTTACGTCTGCGTCTGTCCAAGCAAACATCGAACATGACATAATTCCTTGGTTAATTGCATGCTCCGGCCCAAAGAAGAATTCAAACAGCAATGCATATTAGGATATATTGCAGTGAACACAAATAATCATGGTACAATGCATCAGCTTTCAATCAATACAACTCACAAACTCTTTAATTTGCAAGTTTCAACTAACTTTTTCATATATTTCACATTCTAAAAACATATTTTACAGACACTTTATTCGTCTCATGGGACCCATATCAAACAACTAACGTGGTGTGAACTGTGATGATTAAAAAGATTATTCCTACCTCCACTAAAAATCAAAGAAAGCTTAGAAAGAACTCCCATGTGCTGAGAGTATTGGAGACACATTAAATATAATTCGAAATTACTTAGCTGAAAACTAATTATGCAAATCAGAAAATTAATATGACCAGATTTGAGTGTAAAACTAATGAGTTCTGCGCAATGTAACAGAAAATCTATGTCTCCAAGTTTAATTGAAATGTGATTAGAACCAAAAAATTATGAATTATTATGCTTATTAGGGAATTAATATGAACAGATTTTTACCCAAAACTAATTAGGTTTGTACATTGTCCTAGAGCATCTTTATACTAAGTTTCATTGAAATGGAATAATTAGTACCGTGAAAACTCCAAAATTTCGACCCCTCTAAAAATTCGACCGCCTATTTATTTGCCGATTTCTGTGTTTTATTTACCTACAAATTTTCGACTCCACTAAAAATTGCCGACTCATTCTTATTCGAAAATTGCGACCAGTTTTAGTTTTCCCCCAAACGAAAAAAAAAACCGATGTGAGCGTTTCAAACGGGACCTCCTCGA